GCGGAGAGACTGTAGTTCCAACTAGTTCGGGTAACGCGGCTTGAGACCCTTAGGAATTGCGGAGCTTGATGCGATTCCAAGCAATTATTTCGGAGAGAGAGTCTCCGGTGCTAGGGGCCTCCCGGGGAGTGGTCGGCCGCTGTCATACCTCACCATAAATTTCAACTCGAGAATCATGCCACCAATGATATCGAGGGACAGTTAAATACTGGAAGGGACGGATCAAACAGCGTCGCTCACAGTAGCTAAAGACGGTATTCTCTTCTCGTATTCGCTGACATACCCTGCCGAGGCCACAGAAGCCAGAGTGTTCTCTGTACAACTTTTCACCGTCTGCACCCGTCGATAGCTTTCTCTAAGCCCCTAGCGCCTGGAGAATCATTATGAATATCCCCGGAGAGTGCGATGTACTTGTTGTGGGCAGTGGCAACGCTGGATTCGCTGCAGCTCTTTCCGCTTCTCAGTCAGGAGCAAAGAGAATTTTACTGGTCGACAAATGTCCTGAATCTTGGGCAGGTGGAAATTCTTACTTCACTGCTGGAGCGTACCGAACCGTCCACGGAGGTTTACACGACCTCTTGCCCATTGTGAATAATGTGGACGCAAAGCTGGCAGGAAAAGTTGACCTGGATCCGTATACAGAGAAGGATTTCTCTGATGATATGCATCGTATCTGTGGGGGCAGGTCGGACCCCGAACTCTGCAGAGCTCTCATCAAAGACTCGAACTCAGCCATCAAGTGGTTGGCCCAAAACGGAATCAGGTTTCAACTCTCATTCAACAGACAAGCGTATGAGGTCAATGGTCGATTCAAGTTCTGGGGAGGCCTACACCTCAAAACCGAGGACGGAGGTAAAGGCCTTATCCAAGACTACATCAGCATTGCACGGCGACAGAAAATTGCTCTCTTTTGGAATACAGCACTTACCGGTCTATCAATCGATGGCAGCGGCGGTGTCCTCGCAACTGTTCACAGGGACAGGAAGGATCACACTATCAAGGCTGGGGCCGTGATTCTTGCAGCTGGAGGCTTCGAAGCTAGCCCTCGCCTTAGGTGTCAATACCTCGGTCCTGGGTGGGACATGGCTCTGGTCCGCGGAACGCCCTTCAACACTGGCGACTGTCTGGAGATAGCGATGCGCGACGTCTCAGCGCTAGCTGCTGGAAACTGGAGTGGTTGCCATTCGGTCGCGTGGGATGCGAATGCGGATCCTAATACTGGTGATCGCGAGGCGTCAAATGAGTATACGAAGTCTGGGTACCCGCTTGGTGTCATGATAAATGCTCAAGGCAAACGTTTTGTTGACGAAGGAATCGACCTCCGGAACTATACATACGCCATATTCGGCCGTGCCATCCTCTCGCAGCCCGAGAGTGTGGCCTTTCAAGTATGGGACTCCCGAACAAGCCCTTGGCTGAGGCTGGAGGAATACCGAGAGCAGCGCGTGGAAAGAATTACCGCCAACAGCATTGAGGAACTGGCGGATAAGTGCCTTCAACGGGGGTTGCGCGACCGCGAAAGCTTCATTAGCACACTGCGTGAGTACAACGAAGCTGTATATGCCCATAGAAAGGAGCATCCGGAGGCCACCTGGAATCCAGCCATAAAAGACGGATTGTCGACACAATCTTCTACGACAAAACTATCGCTTGCAAAGTCGAATTGGGCACTTCCAATTGACCAGGGTCCATTCCTCGCCGTCAAGGTCTCGTGTGGAGTTACATTCACATTTGGTGGGTTATCCGTGAACCCGGAGACCGCTCAGTTGAAGAGTGCAGTGACAAGCGAGGGCATTCCTGGGATTTATTGCGTTGGAGAAATGCTGGGAGGATTGTTCTATTCAAACTACCCTGGCGGTAGTGGTCTCACCTCAGGTGCCGTGTTTGGTCGGCGGGCTGGTAGAGCAGCTGCCCAGTGGGCTACGAGATCGTCCGTGCAAAGAGGCCAGATCGCGAAGCTATAGTGAGAGATGTTAGCACTGTCGCTGCTGCGTCCAGATGACCAGGCACTACTCTCTGGTACGTCCATGGCTCGAAAAATTGAATTGAGGGCAGAATCAGAGATCTTCGTAGGAAAGCTGTCACAAGCGACCAGAACCCCCAGTGTCCCCACCGCAAAATCGTTTTCTTAGACAAATTGAATCTTTTTGTGCTCCTTTGATATGTTTCTGTCCTCTAAGCACCGAGATCGTACTCGCCTATTCTTCATTCACCCTCAAATGGATATTCCATTGTCATAAAGCGCAACCCCGGAGGCCTAACTGCGGGAACAAATCTGCCACGTTCCTGCAACTAGCTAAAACAAAAGTAACGAGGCGGAATGTCGAAACGGAGACTCTCTCCCCGAAGTTGCAACAAAGCCAAATTTGGTGATTCGTTTCTCAACATCTTCTCCCCACAACCGGGAACATTTGGAGTTACGAGGGTTCTTGAGCCCGATAAGCACTTGGACGGAGAGTCGGAGGTCTTCAGCTGCTCACCTATACGCAATGCAGTTATATTGCACAAGGCTTTCAAAATTCCGGGGGGTTCCAAACTTATTGCTCGGACTTTTATGTACGGCCCAAAAGCGTACTGCAATATCGTCTGTATTCACCCTGGTACGAGCAAGGTGCAAGCATTACGCCACAATGTCAAACAAGTCGCCAATCAAAAAGTCCATACCATATGAGGTAAAGACCTATCAATATCAACGCAATTAGATGATCTGACATGTCGCATCAGTTCCAAGACCTAACTCTGATTGACACAAAATCGTTGATTGGAGGCCAGTGGGTTGGTGCCGCATCTGGGAAGACCTTCAAACTTTTTGGTATGTGAAGAACGTCGACGCGAACACCTCCTCCCTGACTTGAAATCCAGATCCAGAAGACAATGCCGAGATTTGCGACATCGCCGACTTGAGTGCTGAGGACACCCGAAACGCCATTGAAGCCGCCAGCCAAGCTTTTGAGACGTACAAACTCACTCCCCACCGGGAGAGGAGATGGCTGATGCGACGATGGGCTGACTTGATCAAGGCAAACAGGGCAGACTTAGCTGCATTATGCACCCTCGAGCTCGGCAAGCCGTATACAGAGTCACTCGGTACTGTACAGTATGCAGTTGACTTTATTGACTGGTTTGAGGGTTCCATTGAGCGTACATTCGGCGAGACCATCCCCGCAGCCCGCGGGAATAATAGAATCCTGACGATCAGAGAACCTCAAGGCGTTGTCGCGTGTATAACGCCCTGGAACTCACCTGTCGCAATGGTTACTCGTAAAGTGGGTGCCGCAATCGCGGCTGGCAATACAGTTGTGTGCAAGCCGGCGCCCGAAACGCCACTTTGCGCCATTGCACTTGCAAAACTTTTCGAACGAGCGGGCGGTCCACCGGGTGTATTTAACGTCGTGACAGCCGGCCTTGAGAACACCCCGTCGATCGGCAAGGAGTTATGTAGTCATGCAGCGGTAAAGCACTTGAGCTTCACGGGGTCTACTACTGTTGGCCGCCTGCTTAATACAGATTGCGCCAGAACTATTAAAAAGACTAGTCTGGAACTCGGTGGGAATGCACCCTTCATCGTGTTCGAGGATGCCAATATCGATAAAGCCGTGGCAGGTAAGCACTCTCTGCCCTCTGTGCCGAAGCTCCGTCGTGCAAAAGCAAGTCTAATGCTCTCTAGGCCTTATTACTTCCAAGTTTCGATCATCTGGACAAACATGCGTATGTGCAAATCGCATCTTCATCCATGCGTCCATATTGGACAAGTTTGCAGATGCTTTAAAGGAAGGGTTGAAGCGCACTTTTACATACGGTTCCGTTTGGGACAGAAAAGTGAACTTCGGACCCTTGTATGCTGGCAAAGGTATTGCAAAGGTGGAGGATCATTTGGATGATGCTCTAAGCAAAGGAGCTTGGGTTCACACCGGTGGCAAGGACAGCAGCCTTGGACCCAACTTTTTTCCCGCCACTGTCGTGAAAGGTGGCAAGGTCGGCATGAAGTTCATGACAGAAGAGACATTCGGACCCTTGGCCTTTCTTGTACCCTTCCAGACTGAGGAAGAGGTCATCAAAATGGCGAATACGTCCGACGTTGGGCTGGCTGGTTATTTTTACACCGAGGATATTTCGCGCCTTTGGAGAGTCAGCGAGGCTTTGAAAGTGGGAATGGTCGGAGTCAGAGTCGGGCTGGTAAGTGCTGCTGAGGCACCGTTTGGTGGTGTCCTCGAGAGCGGATTGGGCAGAGAAGGAGGGATTGCAGCTTTGGAAGAATACTTGGATATCAAAAGTATAACGATTGGTATCTGAGCTTCTGTTTCTGGTGCTAGGACCTATCAGACATTGAAGGCTCACGCTGTTTGAAGACTCCGTTGGCCCATGACAAGCTCGGCAAGGCAGCTCTTCAACTCGCTCTGCATTACCTTGAATTGAGTCCAATTAGACACCTCAATCGCCTTATGGTCATATCCATGTCATGGTCATGATAATAAGTCGCAACTCATCGCTGTCTTCGGCTTTTTTCCCGGTGCTCAAGCATAACCTATTCGCCGGAGCTTGTTTCCCCGCAGGGAATTGCCGAGGAAAGCTCTCCAACGCGTGAAAGGGGAGATCAACCTGCGTAAATCACATGTGGGCGAAGCGATTTTCATGAGATATCGAAAGCGCATTATTGCTGAAAGCATCAATTCGATCAAAAATCCTTGTTCAGCCGTCGCAAAGATCGTGGCGCCTCGACTTATATCTGCCAAAGGGGGAGCCAGCCTCGCTGTTCATCGACCACCCGAATAGTCACAATGGCTGCCACTGCAACAATGAAAGCACTCATTTTTCATGGCCCATATGATGTGAGATTGGAAGAACGACCAAGTCCGTTCATAAGAGCCGCTGTTTTCTGGCAAGCAGCTGCTAATGTACTCCGTTTAGTCCCTCACGTAATAGACCCTACCGACGTTGTGGTGAAGACTACCTCGGCAGCTCTATGTGGAAGGTAAAGCTGTCTCCTCTCATTTGTTACTATGTCGGCAATCACTAATAATGAGATATCGCAAAGCGAGTTGCATCGCTACCGAGGACATTCAAAGATCAATATGCAACCTGGTTACGTGTGCGGGCACGAAGGCATGGGTATCATCCATGAAGTTGGCAGCGAGGTTAGAAACTTCATGAAGGGCGATAAAGTGATTGCGCCGTTCACGATCAGTTGGTTAGCACTGCCCTTCACTTGTTGAATTTCAATAACTGAATAGTTACAGCGGCGAGTGTTTCCATTGCAAGAGGGGCATCACCGGTCGATGCGTGAAATGCAAGTCGTTTGGATCAGTCGCTCTGGACGGGTCACAGGCTCAGTATTTTAGAGTGCCGTTGGCGGACTCTACTCTGTTTCGCAGTCCGCAGGAAGGAGATCTCGGGGAGCTGCTGATCTTGATGACTGATATATTCCCAACCGGGTAAGCATACATTCCCCCCTTCATTTTCTTTTCGGAAACTGGACCCGGTTGACGAGACGCCATCCTAGATTCAACGGTGCGAGAAATGCCTTTCGGGAAACTCCAAGTGACCAGTGGAAGGACATGACCGTGGTAGTGATAGGTTGTGGTCCGGTCGCGTTGTGTTCGATTATATGCGCTCTCGAATATAAACCTGCGCGAATTTTCGCTATAGACTCGGTTCCTGATCGCCTGCAGCGTGCGAAAGATCTAGGCTGTATCCCCCTCAACTTCAAGACGGTAGATGCTGTCAAAGAAGTCATGAGGCTTACTGACGGAAGCGGCGCCCATGCAGTCATTGAAGTGGTCGGTCTCAGTCCAGCTCTCAAAACTGCTTATGATGTTATTTGCCCAGGAGGCAAGATAAGCTCCGTAGGTACGTTGTCGATCTCGTTATCCCAATTGCAATCCATTATCGCTGACACTGGCAATAGGTGTACACAACGGCGAGCTCCCATTCACGGCCGCAGACTGCTACAACAAGAATATTCACATCCAGTTCGGTCGATGTCCAGCAAGATACGTATTTGGAGAAGCCTTGCAAGCCCTGATACGTAACAAAGACACGATAGAGAAGATGAGATTCATAGATCTTGTCTTGCCGGGATTGGATGACTCGTGTGTGGATGCTTTGCGGCGCTTCGAGCGTGCAGAGGTCAACAAAGTGGTCTTCAAGCCCAATGGTATTGACGCATAGTCAGAACGACCCAAGTCAGAATGAGAAGCGTTTAGGATTGACAGATTGGAAGATAGCAGCTATCCCTGACAAGTCAAGTACGGATTAAAGCCACTCGTGGTACCCAGGGAGCGTAGAGAAAGCTTGAAGCGCGGTTGTGGTGAATATTTGTAGCCTGTGCCAATAGTGCCGCAGACGCTCGATGACACTGTAGGCAGCAGGGTTTATTGCCGCACAGTTACCCGAATGTACTTTAACCCTGTGCTCCAGCATATTCATGGTCCCATGTAATCAATTCGACTGAACTAGTTCGAAAGACAGAACGCTGGCGTCGGTTAGGGCACAAGTACTTTACCTCAACTCTCCAAGCACTCCTCAATTCTTCTGGTCGTTCTAGCACTGCTGATACAACGTGTAGAACTATTTTATTCGAAATTTTATCGAGAATACTTCACTTCTGACTGCCTTACCTCAACCCGCGTTATTTAAGGCACATTTCACGTCCTATCTCAACGGCGGGATATGATATGTTCAGAGGAGGCCTCAAGGAAAGGAGCCTCATTACTACCATACTAGGAAAATATTAATAATGTCCACTAGCCAGTTCTGGAATCCTTCTGCCTGGCTAGCGGGCTTGCGGCCAGCCTAGCCAGGTCTGGGTCTAGCTGCCGTTGCGCTCTTCCAGGCACCACCGAAAGAGTTTTGCTTGTTCACAACGCCCCATAAAAGTTGGCATTCGATTAAGAGCTCGCCACCACCAAGTTCGACAGATAACAATTCACCTCTGCCAAGTCCTCAAACATTGGAAGGCAATGGCAGCAATTGACGTCTATGACAAAGCAAAGGGAGAGGAGGAGCATATCCTTAAGTTACCAGGAAACAGGCAATTAGCATATGCCCACAATGGCCCCGTGACGTCCCGAACGGTTGTTCTCTTCTTCACCGGTATCATGAGCGTCGGCACCGCACCAAATGCCCCCGCGCCGTGTCGCAAGCTTGGAGTGCACTGGATAGCGCCAACTCTCCCGGGCATGGGAAATTCCAGCACACGCGATAAGAAGGTGCCCTACCACGTCTCGCTAGCAAGGGACATGATCGCCTTGCTGTCGCACCTATATCCCGCGAATGAATTTGACACTCTCTATGTTTCGGGTGGATCATATGGCACAGTCCAGGCACAAATGGTGTATGGAGCGCCATATGACTTGTTTCCTCCCGGTCGCAAAATTGTTGGGTGCGTCTTATTAGGTGGTTTCTCTCCCCTCAAGTACCAGAATGACTATGCGAAGACGCTGAGCTGGCAGAACTGGTTCTCCTTCGGACCGCCGACGCAAGCGCTTCCTTGCCACCTCCTACAATGGCTTTTCCGCTTTGCCGTTGGATCTAAGTTAAAGACCCTCAACGGCGCGAAGGCTTTCCTCCAGCGGACGCTAATCGACGTCATGGATGAGGAAGAAAGATTGGCCTTTAGTCAATGGCTGGAAAAGAATTGTGTGACTGAGGATACTTTCTTGGACCAAATGGCCCGGGGTATAATTAAGTGTTGTCGGAACTGGGACGGGTTTATGGAAGTCTCTGACGTGATCCACTCCGACTGGGGATTCGAACCAAAAGGGCTTGACGACCAACATGCGTCGAAGCCTGTGCTGGTCGTGGGCTCAAAGGCCGATCAGATCGGCGGGAGCGCGAACAACTGGCTCGCGGAGAATTACAGGTCTGCCAAGCTCAAACTTGTGCCTGGAGGTCATATTTCATCCTTGTTTTATCTGGACGAAATATGGGAAGAGATCATTGGCAGTAAGTCGTCCAGGACAAATATTTTATCTGCTCTTGTGAACCTGACGTCCGGTTAGTGGTGAAGTCAAAGGCAGACCATCCGCGCAGGGTCGGAGGCGGGTGAAAGATGATTTTTGCGACATGTTTGTCCAGACGTGTCTAGGGTAGAGTGACCTCAAAGGCAACCTAGGCATAAGAAAACATAGGGGAGAAGGCCCGTGTTGTGGCGACGGTCTCTAGCAACTTTCATGATCTAACTGGGGAGGTTATCGTTTTCCGCATCTCTGTTCCGAGTATCTGTGGTTGAGCACCCCCAGAAGTTGCTCGGTTACTCGAAAAAGCTCACAATGCCTTGGCCTAGCCCCCGGAGGGAGAGTATGCGGAATGCGTATTTATCCCACAGATATCATCGCCAATAGATAGAATTCCTCGCAATCAATCAATACTCAGACCTTATATCCAACAGGCACCAGGAAGTGGCTTATCGGACCGTCTGCCGGACCGTTTCCCACAGTACATCTTGATGATGAGCGCGACGCAGTCGGAGACGCGTCTTGTTGACTCGAAACGACAGACCTCTGACTTCAAATGCGCAAGCACCGGTGGCTGCGAACATCATTAGGATTCGTCCTGACTGTCTGATAGTAGTATGTAGCTGATACGGCTGGGGTTCGACCTGTTCCTGACAATAATATGGTTCTTATTTCCAGCTTACTGCCATCAGCAATCCTATTACTCCTACTGGGTATGGGTAATTCATGCAAAATTCTACCTAGACTGGAGTCTTTGACATTGAACTGGCTTACCGATATGATACCCGGTCCCTGAACCTTAGAAATAATGGTATGACAAAGGAATACAACAAAAGCAGAAAGTTCACTCTACTAAGAACGCGAATAGACGGGTCACAATTACATCGATCCTATTTGTGAGAATACTCACCTTCGGCTTTAAAACTACATGGAACGAGATAATAAGGCGTTAAGCTCCCGTGCAGATGGGCGGTCCTGTGTCACTGTCGACATATATTCAAAATCGGCAACTTACTGACACTGGGAAAGTCATGATCACTAGAGCTAGCAAAGAGGGTTTGGAGCTGCCACAGCCTTGTCTCACGCCAGCAAAGCATTACATCGTCCGTATGTGCTAGTCGGCTGTCAAGCAGCGCGCCTGCAGCCAGTCGTTGCGGGGATTAAGAATGTCAACAGTGCAGTTCTGGTACATATCGTCACGTTTGATGCAGCAAGCCGGACTTCTGTGCGAGACGGAGCATCCAAAATCACTCGGCTCATTGATCAAGAACCTGATGGCAAATCAGAAATTCTGATCAACAATGCCACTGTTATGGTCCCGCCGCACTCCAGGACACCGGAGGGGTTTAAGCCCACTTCAGCCGGCACCATATCGGTTACTTCCTGCTGACGAAGTTGCTCACCCCGAGAATCGAAAAGGTTTCCGGAGACTTGCCATCCAGAATAGTAAACGTCTCCAGCGGCGTACATATTTCCTTTCCCGTCAGATTTGATGATCTCGACTTCCAAAAGGCCCAAATGACATTAGAGGGGCTGATGTTGAGGGCTTGTATAGGACAGTAAAACATACGAGCCGTGGCTCAGCTATGGACAATCGAAAGCCACAAACATTCTGTTCACGCGTGTTCTCACCCCACGGCTGAAGCCTCGCGGCGTTTTCAGTTACAAGCTGCACCCAGGAGGCGAGTTTTTGTCTCCCTCTTTTAATCATATTCGTAACTCTCTATAAAGAATTACAATTGTTAGATTCCAACACGACTCTTTCAGTGGCTACGTCCTGCGTATGGTTTCATGCCTCTAACACTGTAAGCAAACTCCGGGTATTATGTCACCGTTTGGGCGACATGTGGACCAGGAGCTGGTAAAAGACCTAGACAAAGTGTCCAGATGTGAGTTGTGACCGCTGCGGTCGACATTTTAACCATACTGCCGCCCCCTTACTGAAATGCATCAATTCCGCAGTGCACGGCTCAGAGGAAATTCACTTCAAGGACCTCCAAAAAAGCTGATCGACCACGTTGATTGCCGAGTTCTCCCCGAAAATCAAGGTCGCATCTAGGGCCTATCTTGAAGATTGCAGAATTTCACGGTCTGTAGATACTGCGACCAGCGAAGGATACACAGAGAAACTGTGGACATCGAGTGAGAAGTAGTGAGAAGGTCAGTGGTGAGAAGTTCGACGTTTAGAGTGCTCTATTTATCGAGCTTGCTGACTGTTATCTTGACTTAACCAGATCCTGCAACAGAAATTTCGGCGCCTTTCAAGTCGGTGGGCTCTCGAGTCTTCTCCGCTCACACTCAGCTTCAATTTGCAGACATCGTATTCCTCTCTAGGCCCTCAGACACATTCAACTCATCCAATACCGCATATCTAGGCCCAAATCTTCGAACAACTTTTTTGCCTCCTGCGGAGTCTTCCGATCGTAGTCGTAAGTGGCCTTGTCAGAATACCACGCCTGCGATCGTTCTTAGCAGACTGATCTCAACATCAATTGCTAGTTCCGGGCTACCTTGGATAATTCCCAGAGTTTGTCCAGGCTGATCACATAGCCATAGTACAAACCATGTTTGGCATGAAACTTTTGGGCTTCGGGCTCAGTTGTGCAAATTTGGATCCCGCTGCATGCAAAACGAACGTCTATCCACCACTGGGATGGAGGCGCAGAGAATACGGCATAGTACTTCTGCAACGGTGTTTCTCCCTCTTCACCGATTGCTTTGCTGATGTCCCCATCGGCGAACTCGAATGTCAAGTGCTCTCCGTTAGACGGAGTCATAACTTTGACCTTGACTTCTCCTGGTGACAGCATAGCAGCAAGACCGAAGGCGCACCAGGCGCAATTTGCCCACCAAAGCTTTCCCGCATGGACCTACCGTGCTCTAAGTCAAAAGAATCGTTCTCATTCGGTTACCGGCAACTCAGGTGTCTTGGAATTGAGACTCTTACAACGACATATGGTGTGGGCCTACTTCATTATTAGATACTTGAGCCTGGCGGTGCTTCTGTTAGCACACTCACAAATGCGAGAACGGGTGTGCCATTGCTATTGGAGTTGGAGTCGGCACGTCTTTGTCGTACAGCTTTATATGATGGAGGTCATGAAGCTGGCGAAGGCTCTGCGCGACCCGAGACTCGTCACGCGAGACACGAACTACAAGATCTTGAACAGTGGGTGGACGGCAGTTCGTAAGAATGAATTGAAAGATCTCATATCTAAGCTGGCGGGTGTCGCTATCCATGGCTCTGGTGGACATTAGAAATGAGATATTTAACGCAACGGCTGTAAATCCTTCAGATGTGTTTAAATCGCAGTCGGAAGGACCCCACAAAAGTACTCGTACACGCCCTGTGACATCTGCTGGGCTCTTTTGAAGGTTTCCGCTAACCTAGCTTTATAGAGGAATGGTTCTGCCTCCCGGGTCCAAAATAGAGCAAGTACTTCCCCCCGCAAGCAAGGAAGTCCGTCTTTGGATATCGCGGATTGTTTCTGTTTATAGGTTAACATTATGGACCCCGGGAGGGTTTCGATACAGTATCGATATGTTCGCTACAATGCTAGTAAAGTATTGGGTTGGAGGAGTATTATGTAATACTCTTGGCAGCAACCTATTGAGAAGAAATGGAGCACGTGATTTCTGAATTAGGATAGCGTGAATCCAATTTTCGGGTTTGGCCCCCAAAATTTACATCTATTATCGCCAAGAGAAATGCCAAGAAGTATTATCATACATGCAACGCATCTAACAGCGGTCAGCAGCGGCCAATACGAGTATTGTATTAATCCTTATCGAAACCGGGGGCATCGAAAACGACCCCGTAGACGACACCGAGAAGGACCAGAAAGGGAGAAGGCGCAACCTGGAAATAAGAGGCCGACAACAGCGTATCAATCTTGGCTCTTGGCGAGAGTACCTACACTTCTTGGGCGATTATCCATTTCTACCCCCAAACAGATTCTGCAAGATTGCTCAATAAGGTTGAGGTACTTTATGGAAAGAATTTAGGGGCTCGAGAGAAAAAGATAGGACGGGTTGGGAATTAAAAAATCATGTGGAGTGGCTCAAGCGCCGCTTTCATTGCCACGACCAGGCAAGGAATGAGTTCCTATCGTCTCGCCGACGAACATACTGAGGCAGTGATAATTGAATATAAACACCATTGAAATCCACGCGCTACACCGTCTAGATCTATCTTTTGAGTGGATTAAGTACTGGTTACTCCAGGCTGGGGAATGACAAGGACGGCAAAGTCCATCAGGTATAGCTCTTCAAAGCTTAGGTCCAGGTCCTCGGAGAGCAGCCAGGACTTCTACGGCTCCACGCTCTCCACTCCTGACAGCGCCTTCCATGTAGCCTCTCCAGACGTCGCTAGTCTCGGTGCCGACGAAATGGACATCACCTACGCTAGCCTTCAGCCAGCTGCCTACTCCGCTCAACACGCCCGGTGCTGTGGAAGAGCTTGGGCATCCATATCCACTCCATGCCTCATCGTTCCATTGGTGACCGATCATGTCAACATACTCACCGTCAACCAATTCACGATCTTGGAAAATGGCTCCAAGTTGACTGAGCAGCGCTTCCTTCTTTTCTTCGACCGTGGGAAGCTGGGACCAGGCTTCGCCGGTATCGCCAGACAGGAACAAAGTCAGAACGAATTTTCCATCGGCCGGGATGCAAGAGTCGCGAATGATCGAGATAGGGCCGATGAAGGATTGTACCAGACCACAGGAGCCTAATTTGACCCAGAAGGCAGACTTGAAAAGAACCATGACTTTTTGGTAGTAGCCATACTTGTAAGAATCGAGCAAAAGCCTCTTGCCAGGTGGCAGGGGCGGGTGGAACGCAATCTTCTTGACAGTCCCCGGTGGGACGGCCGAGATGACCTTTTTGGTTCTGTAGGTCCGGTTGTTGTTTGACGTGGTAACAAGAATCGACTGTGGTCCCTCTCGCTGGATTGATGCGACAGGAGATTCGAGATGAAGTATACCGGACGGGAGGCCTGCGGCCATCTTTTTCGAAAAGTGTTGAGTTCCTTGACGCACGCGCAAGTACTGGCCTCCGTCCTTAGCATCTGAACGCATAGTGTACAGACCACCACCCGCTGCGCAGTAGTGGAGGAAGAAAAGCGCCGAGATCCTGCTGGGCTCCTGGCCGAGCATTGCTCGAGACCAGACCGCGGCTGTGTTGATGGCGGCTTTACCAGCTCCAAGATTCTTCAGGTAAGCGAGGAAAGTCATCGAGTCCAGCTCGGCCGAGCGGGCATCCTCGTGGCTAGTGACCGATAGAGTCACAGAATCTTGGTGCACAGTATCTCGAATACGAGCAAGATCATCCCTAATATCCTTGGGAAACTGCAACTCGACTTTTTAGATATCGTGAGCGCGACCACGCAGAAAGGTTTTGCTTACCGGAGGTAGATCACCATATTTGAAAGTCTTGATGGAACCGTCAACATCTTGCAAAATCGCATTACCGTTCGTGTTCTGCACCATTAATTCGGCTCCCGTGGAACGAGCCAAGGCCGCCATACGGCTCTGGTTTGTGTCGTTGATCCATGCTGCTCCCAGATCAATGACGCCCTTTCCGTCCGGAGGCGGCTGACTCCAGGTACGGCCGCCGACTCGGTCACGAGCTTCGAATAGAAGGACCGAGTAGCCAGCGTTGACGACATCACGGGCAGCAGCCAAACCAGCGAGGCCAGCTCCGATGACAATAACATCGACCGACTCTGCAGAAGCTGGCGACAGCTGCTTTAGGGCAAGCGGAGATGGCTTTGTCACCACGGCATCGATCTCAACTAACCACTCGGGCACCGCCAGTTGCGCAACAGGAACAAGGGTCATCGCAGGTCGATGACCATTATAAAAGCGTTGAAAAAGTTTGGTGTGTAGACGTCGGTTGGGGTCGTAGTCGACAATGTAGATTGTTAGCTTGAGGATGTCCGAAACCGATGCTCCTGCGGCTATAATGATACGATGGATGTTGAGTAGTGCGAGGTGAATCTGACTTTCATAATCAGCAGGGCAAGTGTTGTTTTTGGTTATGCCCTGCTGTCCAGCGATATGAATCAAATCTCGACCGCTGGAGACGGTGCCTGGGGCATAGTATGCTGATTCACTGTTTCCGATATCGATAAATCTCACGGAGGCCATGATGGGACAATATTCTTGGGCTGCAGTGTCTTGAGCGTTGCTACGCATATGCAAGATACAGCATATTTATCATGTTGGTGTCCCCAACTTGTAGATGCCCTGATGGCCTCACATGAGGTCGGCTTTGTCCGCCCGGCGAAAGCTTCCTCTTTTGTAAACGTGGGCCAAGGGGAGCTGATCAAGATGCCCACAGCGGCGAGAGCTCGGGAAGGGTTGCTAATAGAAACTGTTGCTCTAGGTATCTTTTGGTTCGGGGCCCACTGGATCTTATTGTATCGTCCTACTAGTATCCAACATGTAGAAGGGCATGGTGTCTACGTCCGAGGCGTATCATCAGCAGTCTTACACTATTCTGACCAAAAGCCTACAGCATGTCCGGGATGAAAGTGAAGAATGGCCCCGAAAACTTCAAGAACCAAGTATCTTCGTTGAGAAGTTTTATATTGATGGAAAATAGTCTTCATAGAGAGGGAAAGCGTCTGACGTCTGTGGTGAGCCACTTCGTCCCGAGCCACGCGGACGCGGCTCTCGACCAATGCAAGATCCGGTAAGCAATACCAATGTCGAGAGCTGTCCAGAATCAACCACAGCAGACCGAATAAAGCCATTGTGGCAGCACAGAAGACGATGAAATCATGGGGAATGCGGTCTGGACGTCAACAAGGTCGAGTGCTGATGAAATGGTATGAGCTTGAAATCAAAACCTGGAGACTATCATTGCCGTGTAGAACAAGTCCCAAGCAGATGCCGGAGGCGAGGTCATGTTTTCTACCGGCTTCATTGAGTGGTATGCGGAGGAGTGTCCCCTAGTTTACGGCTACATCATAATCTCGATGCTTCGGCAAGAATCTATGTCGATCGATAGCCGGTGGGAGTCTGTGGCATGGTTACTCCATAGAATTTCCTATTGGGTGTGGTGGCGCGTGAAGTGGTCCCAGCCCTGGTTGTTGAATGTACGGTGATTGTCAAATCTGGCGGGGTCACTCCTTTCTCGGCCAACGTTCTCGCTGTGCTGGCAGAGCGTACAGGAGTTCCCGCTGGAGGCTTCAACGTGATCGCGGCTTTGGAGGGTACGCCAGAGCTTGGATTGGCCATATGTAAATCCGATATCATTAAAAAACCGTCCTTCACAGGGTCGACCGGTGTGGGAAAGATCCTTTCGGAGCAGCTGGGTAGCTCTCTCAAGAAACTAGGGCTGGAGCTCGGCTGCAACGAGCCATTTCTGGTCTTTGATGATGCAGACCTTGGCCTGCCTGTGTCATGTCTATTTACTTGCAAACTCAATGTGACGGTCAGGCCTGCGGGTCGGCGAATCGAATCATTGCCAACAAGAAGGTCTATGATGTATTCAGCAACAAAGCTTGCAGTGGTGAAGAAGTTCCGCATTGGCCCGAGCCAGGCATTGCAGACAATTAAAGGACTACTCATAGGACGCAACAGCATCACCAAGATGGAAGAACATATCCAAATGCAGAGGATAAGAAAGCTAAGATTCTACTCGGTGGAGAGCATGACACTGGGCCAGTTGTGAGGTTCAAGATGGTTGCCGTCTCACTGAGTTTTGACAAGGCAGCAAAAGGGTGGAAAACTCGACATCAATGAATACTTCGTCACCAAGACTATGATCATAGGTGAAATTCCCGTTAGACGAGCGAACTTGTAGAGACAAATGAATGGAAGAGAATGAATACTATCGCCAACCATCAACCTGGGTTTTACTGCTATTGCGCCCTGCCTCAAAGTATCTATCACCATGTTGGACTAGTCAGGTTCTGCATTTGCATGGATTGGTCTCTCTATGTTCTGTCTGAGAGCGCTCCTGGCTGTCATATCTCGCAAAGGAGAAAGAAGGAAGAGGAGCGCCGAAATGGCAAGGAATTGGCTGTAATGGCTGAATCAATGGCTAGTGAGGCTAGCCAGGCTTGGCTAGGGTAGCTATCTGTTTGTTGGTGGGCTGTGTCTGAAGGAAAGAAAGGAGAAGGGAAGAGTGGGGAGGGAAGGCTAAATAGCCCTCGGCACACCTTCCATCATCTCATCACTAAGCTAATCACTGGACCTCGGCACACCTTCCATCCACTTATCACTAGGCTAACCCCTGGGCCTCCCCATCCAGTACCTGCATGTGACACTGGCCGTTTATTATATGGAGATTCGCCTATGAACAGAAGGTCTCTCCTAAATCCTCTCATTCTTCCTAGCCTGTCACAACGACGGCGAACTTGGTCAAGAATGGTTAGATAAGCGTCCCGAGACCTTCCCAAAACGTTCCTATAACAGGATCGTCAACAGGCCTTATGACAGAAACAAGCAAGGACGAACAATTTGCCTACCATGTATGCCAAGCAAAAGGCTCTAGACCCTCACCGCGTCCAATGATCAAGCCGAGCAAGCTTTACCAGATTACTGTCTAAGGTTTCCCGTTGGCGTTGATGGCGCCCGCCCTAGGATGGGTGCGACATCGTCTGTCCGGCGAAAGGATTCCACCAGGATCGTCACGTGACGTGGGAAACTTACCGTTCTCGAATCGTGGTTTCCTCAATCAGGATGCAATTGGCGATTCACGTCTGCTGAAGAGCGGCCACCGGGTCGGTTCAACGGAAGGATTCTTATCAAGCGTCCGTGTCAGAACAATCTGGATGGCAAAGATATTGGCCGCAGGCACAGACTGTTGTTACGTAACAAGCAGGCATGATACCGAGCTGGCCACGGTATGATATCGTTCTTTCCAGACACAATTGACACACCGCCCATCTCGATCTTGGTTCCCTTGAGTTCAGTCAACGTCCATGATGGCGAACAGGCAACCGGATTTAGACCCTAAAGTGTTGACCATTGCAGACCTCCTGGTCGAAGGACAGAAGAATGTCACGTTTGCAAGCAAGGGTATGTGAAGGGTTGGACCCTGCGATAGGCCCCGGCGGACCATGGCTCACTGTGAACATAGAATACTTCAACGGAGGCGCTGGGGAGATGATTACGTGAGCAGATGAAAGCGCAGAGAAAGGTGTATCAAGTTATTGACCATGAAACGGGCTCATAGGGTCCGCGACAACGAAGATGCATACAACCGGTACAAGCTCCGCCCGCGTGTCCTGCGTGATGTCGACGGTGTCGACATGACAACGACCATCTTTGGCGTCCAAGTCGCTGCTCCCCTGGGGTTTGCTCCGTCAGCCGCTCATAAACTCGCCCATCCGGATGGCGAGTTAGCGACGTCGCGAGCAGCGGCAAAAAACAACATCCCTATGTGCTTGTCGTCTTACGCTAGCGTGGCGCTGGAAGAGGTCAAAGCAGCCGGCGGCTCGAATCCTCACGCTATGCAAATCACCTTTGTTCGAGACCTCGAAGCAACGAAAGAGCAGATCAGTCGCGCTGAACGTGAGCATCTTCCTGAGGCCTTGGCTGTGGCCTTCGGCGCCTCACACCCATCTTTTCAGGAAATTGAATCGCTTACAACGCTCTTCCCATAGGCGCTGGGTACCACGCCATCTTCGTCAGTGTCGACCTCCCAATTCTGGGGAGACGACTCAATGAGTCCCGAAACAACTTCTCTTTTCCTGCCGGCTTGGAGTTTCCAAACATCCGGTCTCGTCCCACTGAGAGCGACACCAACGGTCTGATTACCACCAGCAGCCTAGACTATGGCAAGTCCATTTATATGGCATCTCATTTTGCGGGGAGGGCGGCTAACAAGTTTAGACCCGAGCATCACGTGGGAAAAGGCCATTCCCTGGCTTCGCGCCCAAACGAAGATGGAAATCTGGCTCAAAGGGAGTGAGCCACCTCTCCCTTCCCATAACTTTCTGTTCCTATGCTAAAACTTGTCATAGTTTACACCCCCGAAGACGTAGCCATGGCCATTTCTCACGGCCTCGACGGGATTATCATTTCGAATCACGGTGGTCGTCAACTGGACGGCGTCCCGGCAACATTGGATGCATTGCGTGACTGTGCCCCTGTTGCGGAAGGCAAGATTGCCATCGCCATTGATGGTGGCATCAGGCGAGGGGCCGATTTGTTCAAAGCGATTGCCCTGGGGGCTCAATTCTGCTTCATCGGCCGAGTCGTGATTTGGGGTCTTGCTGTGAGTGACTTGAAGCGCTTTGGTCCCCTCCTTCACTCCACCAAAATGAGATGACCTCCCTAAATCTCAGGATCTGAGCGTATTCTGATTCAATTTTGTCTTCAACAGTACAATGGCGAGAAAGGTGTGGATCTTGCCGTCAAGATCTTGCTTGATGAACTCAGACAGACTATGATGCTTTGCGGGTACGTTTCGACATGCCCGTTTGTTTTGTCCGCTGCTAACCTCGCAATCGACCAGTTGCCACTCCATTCGCGACATTACGAAGAGCCATCTCTCTGTCCTCCAACGCAATGGAAGATTGTCCAAACTGTAGAGATTTGAAGCCCAAACTTGCATTGAAAGAAGCATGAGCACGTGGCGCGGGTCACTTCCCAGCATGACTCATCTCAGATAGAAAATCATTGGTACTCAGTTGCCAACATGGATCAGCACATGCCATTGCTGAGGAGTCGATGTGGTTTGTTTTGCAGGGGGACACAGGCGTCAAGTGTCCACCTCAGTGCTGGAAGGTGCCGAGTTACATTGCTTAGCATTAGAACAACGTGAGAATCAGACAAAAGAGATATACCAGATTATATTCAAGCCTAGAGATTTTCACGTTAACATGCACAGGATCCTGCACCCTTAGATGTTTCCATCAGTCATTTAACATGCCGTCGGCGAGGCCTACAATAACCGACTGAGGCAAAGGCATCGAATCGAGCAATGGCCAGGAGGGCTCCAGCGCCATCAGAAAATTGGTATTGCGAGCATTACGCGACGACTCCTCGCTCCCACAATGGGATTAGATGGTTCTAGAGACCAGAGGTCACCAGGCGTACAATCAACCTGATCGAGGATACAGACTAGGATCAAGCTGCTAACCCCCCTCAAGACTGCCTTGATCATGCTTGATCCCGCTCTTGTCCGATCGATTTAGTCGGGTCCGGTGCCGGTCTCAAATCAGGAAACTATTAGAGACGCTGATGCAGGATCACTATAACCGGCTATCAAGCGATATTCCCATACCCACAGAAAAGAGGCAGAACGCCTCTGTGCGCCTAGACCCTAGTCCTTAATGCCCTCCTCACAAGGGGCAGGTCCACTGGATCCAACGTGTACATAAGGACCTGTGCAACACATCCTGCAGCCTTGAACCAACAGCAGACATTAAAGTTTCGTGGTCATTAGCTCGTCGATTTCGCCGATCCGAACGTTGTTCGATCCCCATCGTTATGTCGACTACAACCGAAGTTGCAACGATTGAAGACACCCGAAATGGGTCCAACACGCAACACGAAGCGCCAGCATACAAACAAAAATCTGCCATCGAGGCCATTTCACAAGGAGCGACAATAGCAGGTATCCCGTCATTCACATCAATGGATAAGAAGCGACGGTGGATGCTGGAGCACATGGCGGGAGCTTTCAGAGTCTTTGGCCGAAAGGGCTACGCCGAGGGTATGAGTGGCCATATTTCGCTCCGAGACCCAGAACACCCTGACAGCTTTTGGACGAACCCGTGAGTCCTGCGTGGAATATTTCACACATCAGCCGTCACCCAGGCGGATACTGACTTTGCGAACAGGCTGGGACTGCACTTCTCCCAAGTCAAGGTATCTGACCTCATTCTTCTTGACTCAAACGGATCTGCCATTGGGGGCAACCGATCACGCCCGGCAAACGCGGCAGGGTTCCAGATCCATGGCGCAATTCACAGGATGTATCCCCATGTGAATGCAGCGTGCCACACCCATTCTGTCAATGGTAAAGCTTGGTCAACCTTTGCCCAACCACTCGAGATGATCAATCAAGATTCGACCATGTTCTATGGGGAGGCACAGGGACTCTACCCCGAGTTCGGAGGGGTCGTATTGGACTCGGCGGAGAGTGTCCGCCTTGCACGCAGCCTTGGGCCAAAGGGAAAGCTTTTGATCCTCCGCAATCATGGCTTGTTGACTGCCGGACAGACGGTCGATGAGGCCGCCTACCTCTTCACCCTTGCGGAGAGAAGCTGTGAAATTCAGCTCAAGACCGAGGCTGCTGCCGCCAATGGAATGAAGAAGATGATCATAGATAAAGATGCTGCTGAGTACACCTTCAAGATGACGAGCGACCCGGTCAGTTTTGAGGTTTGGTCCGCAAAGGAAAACATCGCTGATATTTGGGACCAGGAGGCGCTTTATGTCGAATTCCAGCCCGACTATGAGTTGGAGAGAGAACTCACTAATGATGCTTTCCTGAAGTAAAATCCTATCGATTGAGCGGATCAGCCGGTAACGGAAGCGGCTTCCTTCCACCCAATCCGGAGTTCAACCATGTTGTGTAGTCGGAAAATCACCATATCATGAGTAAAAAAGGCAGATGTTGTTTTTTCTCAGTACTTCCCGCCAGCTGTGTTTGTGAGCTCCAGTGCGTTTTGCGGCCCAGACCTGTTCCGCTACCCCCAACATTGTGGTCATGGAGGGCAATCCGGTTTCTTCGACACCCTGCTTGAACCACATGGAGAAGGAGGCTTGCAAGACGGGGTCAGTAGCTTCGCACGCAGCGATGAAGGCGGGCCAAATAAAGCCCGAATGGTAGCGTGCGAAGCCGGCATTGTGCTGGTCATATTGCAGCAGATGGTCTCTGACCAGGCTGATTTTTCCTTGCAGAATCGAAGCGTCGAGGTCGTAGACTCTTCTATAAAAGTAGATGGACAACGCGTGGTTGAGTGCTCCTAGAAGGTGGCCCAAGGCGGAGCGGCTGTCGTCAACATGGCGGTCTAACGTGCCGGTATTCCGATCCAATTCAGTCTGGTAAGTCTCCTGCCATTGCAAGATGCACCGTTCCAAGGAACTCGCTCGGCTCCAGAATTCGCTCCAGCTGAGTTCGGCATTACCAGTGTCCCTTTCGTTGCCAAGGCGAATTGCCTGCGACAAAAGGACTAAGAAGGACTCGGGAAGCCCGAAAATGTCGGGATAAAGGGAGGCAGACCATATTCCCGGTCTCTCTAAGTGGAGATCGTTCTCGCCAGATTCCTTGCTCTTGATCTCGCGCATGGTCTCTTCCAGTCGACTCCAGCGGCCCAATTTGAACGTCGGACTGTCTTGGTCAGCAATGCACGAGCCGCTCCGCTCAACCGCTCGGAGGACACTGTTCCGCTGACTACTCTCAGAAGCCAGGACAAAGGTGCTTTCGTAGAGGATCCGCTGGTATGAGTAACAGTGATGCAGTAGACGAACCCTTCGGGACTTTTGGGGTTTGGTCAAGCCGCGCAACCGAATCAGCTTCTCCGCGTCAAACAGATAGTACTCTGCCTGATCTGGTGCGCCCGATAGAATCTTCCCTGGAGTCAGTAGAAATTTCTGTTTCGAACAATGAATGGTAGAGACCTACAGCGACTTGAATCATGGTGAGTAACGCCACCAATAATGACTTATATTTGAATTTTTTGGGCACGGTGGACGCCTCGCGTATGGCCTGTTTGAGGCTTTCCAATGCTTTCACCTTGTATTTGTTCGCCTGAACATGCCAAATTTGACTTACTGAGGCTATCCTCGACCTGTAGGCGCTGACAGAGAGAATGGCATAGAAGATACTCAAACTGGCAGAATCCGGGGTTTGGCCCAGCGCCAAGGTCGCCACTGTCTCTTTGGCATGTGTATAAAAAATGATATGCCAAGGGGATTTGGTGCCTCTGACAGGAGTCATGAAGCCAATCACGGAATTCACGTAGTGGTTAAGGAGAAACGCCGCATCCTCGGGGAGACGGTTGGTGGATACCGCCGGGCTCAAGGAGGTAAGAAGTGGCAGCTGGGTCGGAGCCCTACCCATCTCATCATCTTGGGCCGTATTCTCCGGATCTATCCCTGTCCAAATCTCCCCCATTGAATTGCTCAGGTCTGGGAAGTCGGAATCTGCAGAGGCAAGAGGGGGCAACCCGTATTGTGAGGCTAAGTCGGGTGGTGCGATGTCGCCGAGAAAGTCACAGTCCCAAGCGAATGAGTCTGGCACATCCTTCTCGCCCGAGACTGTGCAATCAGCAGGGCATGGGACGGGGACGGGGACGGGGACACTCAAGAGGTGCTGCTGTTCAACCGGCTTGATGAATCGAAGCACCCCGAAAGGTCCCCGAGCAGCTTCAAACGGCACAGACAAGATTTCGGACACATTCTCGCCCTCGGCGTCGATCTCCTGCAGGAACCTCACCGCATCTTCCTGTGAGGTATGGGCCAGAAGCGACTCGCTCATGGCGCGTTGCTCTGTGTCAGTGAAGAGATGGCGCCGGATGCGGTCTGCGGCGGCGCGGTCATCAGGCCAGAAGAAGATGTTCCTTACATATCCGGCACATTCACGTCCATCTCGCTGGCAGACGAGGCAGAACGGTCGAGTCTCATCGCACTTCAGATGGCGTCGGCGACACTTTTGACAGTCAGTATTGCACAGCGAACTCATTTGGCCGGCGGTCAAGCCATGGACATGCGGCACTCACGTTCTCGCAGCCACCAAATGAGCGACTGTGACCTCCTCTAGAGCCTTTTCCCGTCGACGGTGTTTGGGCCATGGCTGAATTTGCCGTTTGAGAAAATCAAGGAGAGCCATGTAACAGCGCCCAGTTTTGTCTCGCTCGAGGTTGAGGCCAAATCCAATCTGGTGGAAGTGGCTGAGGAAAGCGGGACGGCGTGACCGGTAGAAATTTCTTCTTTCGGATCCCGCACTCTTCTCTGGTTTCCTATCTTTGCCCATTGCAGCCCGACAGTTTTGTCGTCCAACATTCCGTAGTATGCGGCACGTCTAAACCAGCATAAAGATGCTTAAGCATGTTCTTAGGCCAGGTTCAAGACATCTACTCCCGTGTGCGAACTGGTTCCAGAGACTCTGTTTTTCATCCGACACCACTGAGCTTGACCTCTCTGCCGTACCCTAACCCGTGGCAATGGCTTCCAAGGCAAACACTCTCCTGATTGGCTGTGGCGGCATCGGCACCATTTCCGCCCTCAACCTAGAGGTTGGGGGAAGGGCTACAGTCACGGCCGTGCTCCGCTCAAACTTCCAAGAGGTATCCCGAAGAGGGTTCGACATCAGATCGGTAGATCACGGCGTCGTCAAGGGTTTCAAGCCGACCAAAAGTAGGTGCCTCGACGGCAGACGATGCGGTGGTTGGCTGACTGGGCTGCTGTACAGTCCTCAACGCCATCCCCGACGTCGCTCGCGATAACTTAACGCCTTACAAGTACATTATCTGCGCGACGAAGAACTACCCAGACGTCCCGCCCACGGTGGTGGATCTCCTTCGACCTGCTGTTACGCCAGGCCACTCGGTCGTTGTTCTCATTCAGAATGGCTTGAATATTGAAAAGCCGCTGCTGGCAGCCTTCCCTCAAAATGTTATTCTCTCTGGAGTCAGCTTCTGTGGATCTCATGAAATTGCCTCGGGCGAGATCTTGCACGAGGACAGCGACAAATTATTTGTTGGTGCTTTCCGAAATCCCACGTTGGACCCTACCCTGGAAGACCTGGAAGCCCAAGAGTTCACCGCAATATACTGTGCTGGCGGTAAGTGCGTGGCTGAATATCAGCCTGACGTTGGTTTCACGAGATGGAGGAAGCTGCTGTATAACGCATGTCTGAACTCCATCTGTGCTATTACCGACCTTGATACAGGACGACTTCAACTAGCCGATGGAATGGTAGAAAATCTGGCACGTCCTGCCATGGAAGAGATTTGTGCCGCTGCTAAAGCTTTCGGCCATGATCTTCCCGCCGATCTGGTAGACTTCATGATTACCATGGATCCTATTACTATGTACAATCCACCAAGCATGCAGGTAGACGTCCGTAAGGTATGTGTGGCAAAATTCCCTCCTCCTCTCCCCCGGTTGTTCGCACAGTGCCATTTGCTTGTACATCCAGCTGACCACGCTATAACAGGGACGCTTCATTGAATTCGAGAACATTGTCGGAGAACCAGTCCGTGAAGGGACCTCTCGCGGAGTACCAATGCCCATTCTCACTGTGTATTACCACATCTTGAGATCGCTGCAGTGGAAGCTTAAGGAGAAGAAAGGCCTGGTCACAATTCCTGCACCTTTTGATCATACAAACACATTGTCCTAGAAGATAGTTGATATGGTCAAATACAAGTGGCGAATAGGACGATTTCAAACTGACCCATATTTCTCTGCAGACCACTAATTGCATTGTGCGAACAGCATAACCAAAGACAGGAAGTGTTACTTTTCAAGAATGGTCACGTCTACCATGTGCACGGAAAGAAAGGGTTGGTAAGCCTAGTAAGGCAGATATCCTTCTCAGGGGGTTGTTATGTTCTAACGAAAGGCCTTCTGTAGACGGCGAGATACACCAATCCTTCTACTCACTTTGTATGCCATTGCCGTAGTGAATCGAGTGGTTGGTGCAGGAACAGGGGATAAACAGCCCAGAAAAAGAGCTATAGAAGATAGCATTAGCCGCATAGGTATGACAGAGCTTCAGAGTTTAGCGTGGAATATCATGAGGGCCACGAACGCTGGCCCCTATACAAGACTGGACATTTGTTGTGGCGCCTGTTCAAAGCTGTCGCTGGCAACCGATTGGAATATCAATAGGGATCTCATTACAGGTGTCACAGGTACGCACCACGAGGTTTTCAGTATGGCTTGTCGCCACAGTGTCAGATCTTCGACTGTGGTATCTCTTGCCCAATCTGTCCCTCATCGATAGCATCCTGCATATCAGAGGGCCTAGGCCTCGTCCAGTGTCCTACACAGTCTTGTTCTCAGGAGATAGCATTCCGCTTATCATAGGCTCCAAGGCTGAGACCCAGTCAAGGGTCGAGTCTCTCTAACGCTACTTATCGGAGCAAGGACTATCTTGTGATCTTTTGATGGGGCATTTGAAATCCTTTGGAGCTACTTTTACGAAGGAGCCGGAGATAAAGCCTTATATAGCGAGGAATTACGAAGAGATCCTCCTGCTCCCTTTGCCGCATTCGGTTTTCCATCCCATGTCTTGCAATCGATGTCACACGCCTGAAGTTTCTTGAGCCTGAAGGCGGCATTCTAGGTCATTGACTCTCTAATTTCGCTACATGTGGAGAGTCTCCTGCAACCTGATTAACAGAGATCCAGAAACATGCGGCCTTCATTAGAAGCCCAGTCTACTTAATTTACCTGACCTATCATAATTTCCAGAGACCAGATGATCCATGCAGCCGCAGATGGCCGTAAATGGGGTTAGCCGGGGAAGATTTCTGCATTTGAGTCCATTAGCCGATAAGGAGGCTCGTGGAAACTCTGAATTGAAGTTCCACAACCAGGGTATCACTTATTACAGGCAACTTCTACACGTACCTGTGTCGCGGGCGGGGGCGATGCTAGTGTGATAAGACCTAGACTAGATAAGGATAGACCCCCTGTTCCTTGTTATGCATCGGTACTGCCGTACTTCTGGGGAAGAGGGTCAGTTTTCTGTGTATATAGATAGGTTGGTCCGGTTGGCCTCAGTTGGTTCTGTACCGACTTGGACCTCATCGACCTTTCCGTGGAACGTCAATCCCTGAACTGGACCATGGCCGAAGTCACATCGACGAAAGGCCATGAAGTGCCCCTTGAGAGCAAGGATGTCGATACTCTTGAAGCTGTTGTCTCAATCAACCAAGCAGATTACCACAATCTTACTCATGCCCAGAATGCCAATATCATTGTAATTACGAGCGAAAAGAAGACGGTTCGGAGTCTGCGGCCCCGCCATATACAGCTCATGGGTCTGTCCGGAGCCATCGGTACAGGCTTGTTCGTGGGTACAGGCTCAGCTCTCGCCAGAGCGGGACCTCTGGGTCTCTTCCTGGGGTATGCAATTTATTCTCTGCTCGTGTGGTCTACATTCAATGCCATGGGCGAAATGGTTGTGTGGCTGCCGGTCGATGGATCCTTCGTCGCCTTTGCGCATGCCTATCTCGATGAAGCCTGGGGTTTTGCCCTCGGCTGGCTATACATCATCACGAACTCCCTGGCCACCGCGAGTGAGGTCTCAGCCGTTGCAGCCATCTTCGGTTTCTGGACGGACTCAGTCAACAACGGTATGTGCTCAGCTACTACGCGCATTCGCGTCTGACAAGAACTTTACAGCTGTCTACGTGGCAATCGTCACCACGTCTCTATTGGTCATGAACATCTTTGGTGTCCGTATATACGGTGAAGGAGAGTTCTATTTCTCTCTGTTCAAGATTATGCTGATCTTGGGGTTGATCCTGATGACTTGTAAGTCCACATGAAAACAAAGTACAGCTGTATGCTGACGCACATCAGTCATTCTCATGGTTGGCGGGAATCCCCAACACCACGCCTTCGGCTTTCAGTACTGGAACAATCCAGGACCCATGAACGCATACATTTCATCGGGGGCTTGGGGTAATTTCCTAGGCTTTTGGTCTGTCTTCATTCAGGCCGCTTACGCTTTCGGTGGTCCCGACTATATCGCTCTCTGCGCTGGCGAAGCTCGGGCTCCTCGTCGCGTCATGCCATCGGTCTTCAAGCGTGTCATCTATCGACTAGGGGTTTTCTACATCTTGGGCGTGTTAGCAGTCGGAATCATTGTTCCATACAATGACCCGTCTCTCACATCAGGAAAACCGGGTGCCGGAGCTTCGCCTTTTGTTATTGGTGTCACCCGACTGAAAATTCCCGTTCTCCCACACATTATCAATGCCGTTCTCATTACTTCCGCCTGGTCTTGCGGTCTCGAAGTTTTCTTCGCGTCCACCCGATCATTGTACGCACTTGCAATCGATGGAAAAACTCCCAAACTCTTCCTCTTCACGTGGAGAGGTGTTCCCACATTTTGTGTGCTTGTTGTCTGGCTAATCACTCTGATTTCCTACATGTCGGCATCGAACAATTCTCTCACCGTCTTCACTTGGATCACCAACATCGTCGGATCTTCGAATGTTCTGATTTATTCTATCTTCCACTTCATCTATATCCGGTTTCGACAAGCACAGCAGGCTCAGGGGGTCACGGATGATGATCGACCATGGTTCCGACGTCACCAGTACTACTACTCCATCGTCTCTCTCTTCTTCTACCTGATCATCTTCTTCACAAACGGATTTGCTGTCTTCACTAAGGGGAACTGGTCTACTGCCAACTTCATCTTCGCATATTTCTCCTTCGCTCTGTTCGTGGTCATCTACGTAGGCTATAAAGTTATCAAGCGTCCCCATACGGAACCTCCAAAAGAGGTGCCTCTGTATGCGGGTCGGACCGAGGTCGACATGGATGATGGATATGTTGAACCAGAGCCCACGACAAGATTGGGAAAGTTCAACAGATGGCTGTGGGGTTAGTTTGTGCTGTGAAGCAAGGTTGTAACCGCGTCGGGAGTAGGCTATGGTTACCGTGCAATGCAATCATTGCAGAAATATTTGTGATTGAATATCCTGCTTTCTTCACATTCTCCTTCTCGCCCTTAGATTTTGTAGTCGCATGTAGCATCTAGTGCTCATAAGACATTTGAACGATCAATTGTGCCAAATCTTGATAGCCCACTCCAGATATGACACAT